GATCCTCCCTGAAAGATGAGGCATTCTTTATAGATTTATTTCTTGGCATGGTTACTCATTTCCTAAGGCTGTTGATTTGCATGGCACAGATGTCTAATGCATTCCTTTTCCAATATACAGCTTCACTCAAGCGAAAGCTGTTAGATTTTTCTCCAGTGAATTCTGGAGCGTCATTGTCATCATCCCCACTTTGTGGCTGATATCATCATCACCACCATCATCATCATTAAAAACTGTGACAAGCCTGCTAATTACTAATGACGTTGAGCTATAGGATATGTATTTGCATTTGGTCCCGGGGAGAGTCCAGCAAAAGCGAGACAGGCACGGTGCTTCCAAAGGCCAAATTAGTAGTGGGAGTGTTTATTCTTAGAGTTATGCTATCAAATGTGGGTAGGAGACAACAATTAGTTTGTAGAATGAGAGGATGCTACTGGCAGCAAATTAACCCTTACAGCTCAAGTCATTAATTTCTTTTTAATGTAATTCCTAGATGACCAAATTTAGGGGATGTTTGCGGGCATGTTCTCACACGTGCATACACGCAGAAGGTAGAGAGCAAAAGGAAAATAGCAAATAAAATATGACAATATGGATCTTCCTTTATTCTCCCTCTTTGCCCCAAATCAGAAGCTAATTCCTTCATCTCTCAGGAGAGAAGATGAGCTAGAAAGAAGGGGGTTGGGTCTGGTGGGACTGTTTTAGTGTCAGAAGAACGTCTTTCTGTCTGTCCTGAAAGATAGAAGATCAAGGGCAGTGGTGTCTGATTCATCGCCCCTGCCCTGTCTACAGGTAACTCTTCTTCGGGAGAGTGTGTGTATCCCTGTGCACAGCTGTTTACTCAGCAGGAACCCAAAGAGATGCCCACTTACCAGTCTTTCCGCCCAAAGGGGTCTGTGAGTGAGCCGCCAGAGAAATATCCATTCTCAGAGAAGATTCTGAGGAACACGGCTGAGTCTATGAACATGGTCCTCCTTTCCCAGAGAGAATTACAATGTTTCTCCCGCAGGGATGTGGTGAGCACAGGCACTAGTGCACGTATGTACACGTATGTATGTACACATATGCACAGCCCAAAGTAGAAGAAAATGTAATAAAAGAGGCTGGGGAAATAGAGTAGAATCACCATCTATATGGTTGGATGGTACTTTGTAGCATTGAGGGTAGAATTAAACATACAAACGATTATCACATTCAAGTCACACTAGATACACTCACCTTGGCTGCCACATACACCATTTTTGGTGGTTCCTTTGGGCACCCCACTTTTCTCACCATGTACTTCTGATCTGCTGTGGATAACTGGCTCTCATAGCAGTGAGCATGGTTCCCACGAGAGGATGGAGCCCTGGGGTCTGCTCCCTGGACCAACCTTTTGTGTTTTCTTCCCACTCACTGACAACCCTCTATCTCTTCTGCTCCTTTCCTCCTGAGCTGACCTGAAAATGGCAGAGCGCAGTGAAGGACTAGCTGTGGGCCTCACATTTCTTTTCATTGTCATCAATATTCTGTCTCTCTCAAAGACTTTAGTGGCAACGGTTGAAATATTTCTAAATCTTTTACACTCACAACGCATAAGTTGCTATGTCATATTCCAGACCTGAACACACAGTCACCTTCTTGACATTCACAAGGAGACATCTGCATGTCTAATTGGTCTCTCCAGCATAATATGTCTAAAAATGAGGGCTGGATTGATGCCATGTGTTAACCCCCTCTTCCCTTTCTCAATCAACAGCATTGCCAACCCACCTGCAGCTCAAACCAACAACTTAGCATTTCTTAGGCACCAGTTTTGAACGATCCTATGTCCTTAACACCTCCCCCAAACCCCACCACCTTGACTCGGCTTGCTTTGTGCAAACCCCTGACATTTTGTCCCCTGGTCGCTACATTTCACAGTCTTTCTGTTTCTTCTTTTGCACATCATGGTTGGTCCTTCTCACAGCCTTGACGTATCCAGAAATCATATCATATCCCCTTCCCTCAGTATGAAATCATTGTTGGCTTCACATGGCCTTGAAGATAAATCCTGAGCACCTCAACCTCTCAGCTTTTATCCCATGTTCTTTCTCACCCTTATCTTATGCGTTTCTTCCCTGGACCATTCTTCTCTTTTTAAAAAATCAGACTTGGACACCCAGGACATTTTCAGCTCAGGGTTTTTTACATCTGTCTGCCCAGAATAGTCTTCCCGTGCTTCTAGCTTCACTGGTTCAATCTCTTCTTTGACGTCTCCGTTGAAGGATTACCTGAATTTTCTCAACTACTTCTTCAACATTAAATTCCCAAGTTTATTTCTGGCAGAGCATCCTGTTTGTTTTCTTCAAAGCTTTATGACAACATGTTAATATCTTCTTTACTGTCAAAACTTTCTATCTGAAACAGAAATATTCATAGAGTAGAATCACCATCTGTATGGTTGGATAGTACTTTGTAGCATGACGATCTCAGCTCCTGAGGACAGTTCGTAGAGCTCACTTCTAACCGCCCCCCGCCCCCACCCCCACCCCGCACCTGGCATCTGCTGAACACCACGAAGTTTCTCAATAAAAGCTAAATTAATAAAGGATCCTGCCGTTGTGTCTTTAGCTACAGCAGGACACATCCGTACTGGCCTGAAGCCGCACTTGGTGGGTGCTGAGCTGTGTCCTGTCACTGGAAGCAGGACCCATACCCAGGAGAGAGGAAATGTCACTTGTCGTCTGTACCAGGGAGCTGGCACATCTGAAAGTGTGATCTTACTCACTCTTAATATATGCTTGAGAGGAAGGATCTAGGCATGGGGCTTTTCTAAAGCTAAGAAATGAGTCGATTTCACAAAAGAACTAAAAACAGAACTCTGATTCATGAATTTGCTAATGGCTTTTCCCTTCAGGGGAACCTCCCTGTGCACAGTGAAACCTCTCTTGGGGCACCGCCTCATGCCTGATGTGAAGGTAACCATGGGGCATCGCTCTGCCTGTAAGTTGGCAGCAGAGTCAGCCAGGCTTAACCCGTGGGCTTCCAGGCAGTGGCTCCTGCCACCGTGCCAGACCATGCCCCTTCTCGTCCTTCCCAAATTTCTCTCAGGGCTCCTGTGAAGCACGCCTCACCTAGTTCACAGCCTAGTGAGGAAAACAGGCAATAATGAAAATGAACATTCAAATGAAGAATTCATTTTACATTTTGAAAACAAATACAAAGGGAAATCGTGTACAAATCAATTTACAAGCTAGAAAATAATTACAGATAATTAGACAAGGATAAAAGTGTACCTTTTATATTGTATTTGTTGCAGGTTTCTTTTATTTATTGTTGTTAATATTATTTTGGGGGGGGATGGAATAACTCACTTACTCAAAGTCTAACTGGCTTAGTTGCGTACGTATCCTGTAAATAGAAAAACAATCGATGGGCCATTCTATACACTTGTTTATTGGCTTTTATGGAAACACGCAAGGTGAGAGGAGGGAGTGAAGCTCAACAGTTCTCTGTAGAAAGGCAGCAGAAGCTGCTATCTGCCAGACTCCAGAGGGACATAAGTAGAGAATGAAGATGCAGGGAGACGCTCAGCTCCTCCAAATCACTCAGCACTGACCTCCCTGCTGCACGACCAGAAACCAGGACCAAGAAATAGTGCCCTATTTCTTCCTACTCTTCTAGGAGCAAATGCTACAAAGAGCGAGTGTGGTTTTCAAAAACCAGCTTGCAACACAAAACACTCCTACATGGGCTTAGCGGTCTGATTGTCTCGTTATGTATCGTTCCAGGCATGATCATTCATGCCCCTTACTAATGATCAAACATGGGTAAGAGAGTACACAAGAATACCTTGGAATTGTCATTCAATTCATTCTGGCTAGAGTCAGCCAAAAAGGGGAAACTGAGGCACAGAGAAGCAAATGTCAGCCATACCTGAAAGTGGCGGTCTGAACCAATCACTGCCACCCTCCCCAACCAGATCTCAACCTGTTGGACCTGGTGAGAAAGATGGGATCTTTGGCAGAAACGGATGAAAACCATCCTTACCTTTTCCTTCTGGCTTGCTAGGGAGAGCCTCATCTACAAGTTTTGGCCACCACCCAGATACTGCCAGACAGATGCCCATGTCGCATCCCTGGGAGGAGAAGCCATCTTTCTCATTGGGTTGTGAGACTGAAGTTATGGCACAGGTAAGGCACCTGGAATGTGGCTGGCTTCTGTCACTAAGGCAGCTATTATTTTTATTAACACACATTTCCACACCCCTTTCTCTCGCCCTTTGCAATGGGCTGTGTAATGACAGGCTCCAGGACGCATTCCCAGGGAGGCCAGGAGCAAATGAATTCCAGGGACTGACTGAACAGTGCCTCCGAAATGACTGACTCCATCTTCACGGAGGCTTCTGCCTAAGTTCTCACTTCTCCCCGGGAACACTTCTGATGGGAAGTGCAAGACAGACTTCCAGTGCTTCATGCGACCATCATTTCACCCTCCCAGGAGAGAGCAGCCTCGCCCTCCCAGGCTTGCAACCAGAGGTATGGAATTCCGTGGGGACTTGCATTGGAGCCGTTTAAATTGGAAGCTCTTGAGACATTTCAAAAATATCCCCCCCCCCCTTTAAAGTAAAGATTGGAGAAGCCTGGTCAATAGGTTTTTGTAAACACAGAGGGATAAACTAGGATTTATTTATTTATTATTAGATGTCTGGGTGAGCGCAGGCACAATGCTCTGTGCTGCGTCCCGGGCGGGGTGTGTTTTCTTATTGATGAAATGCACTGCGCAGGTCAACTCCTCCGTAAACCGAAATGGGAAAAGCTGATTGCGGGGGTGGAGGGGGTGTGGTATTAGGGTACAGTTGCTAGTTTGGAGGGGGACTTGCGTGTGAATGGGTGAGAGGGAGAGGCGTGCCAGGAGAGCGCGGGAAAGATTACTGGGAAGGCAAGTGTGTGTCTAATTCCAGGGCGCCCTGGTCGCTGCAGCCCCTGGCTGGGCGAGGGGTGTGATGTGGGGGTGGGGTGGGAGGGGGCAGCAGGCGGGGCCTGCCACGTCACTTGGAGAGTGTGTTGGGAAGGAAGGGCAGAGCCGAGAGCCGAGCCGCTGCAGCTGCGGCCGCTGCAGTGAAGGCTTGAGCGGTGGGGAGGTGGGTTCCCGCGCCCAGGCTGCGGGGCAGCCCCAGGGCCCTCCCAGAGGCCTGCGGTGAGGCTCCTAGGGAGGAGCTGGCGGCGGGAACGGCGACCTTGGCCAGACGGCACCCGCGGTGGACGTAGGGCGGAGGCCGAGCCCCGCCAGGAGTCTTCGCCGAGCGGGAGGGAGGCGCATCTGGCGCCTCGGTACCAGCGGCAGCCGGGGGTCTTGAGCCGTGGGAGAGGCGCAGTGGGAGCTGGGAAGGGCTAACCCTTGTGGAGGGCGGACCCTGCGTCCGGGAGCCCAGGCTCAGGCGCGGCGGGGGGCGCAGCCACGGGTCTTTGCGGGCACCCAGTTTCACACGGGCCAGTTTGCGGTTCCAGGTATCCCAGTAAGCTCCAGCACCAGGCGCGGTTGACTGGAAGCGGGGAGCCAAGTCCTCCGCTTCCAGGTCACCTCCCCAGACTTAGTCTTGCCGCAACCAGAGCTTCAGGGCTCCGGGACCCAACCTCCAGGTCAGAGCGCGAGCTCGGAGGAGCGCGAGCCGAGCCCCACCCTAAAAAGAGGGCGCAGCCGGGAGCCGGGAAACCGTGCGGCGCTGCAGCGCCGGCGTCGTGGGCGCCGTCCTAGTGGCGAGAGACATGAGATCGGAGAAATCCCTCACGCTGGCGGCGCCGGGGGAGGTCCGGGGGCCGGAGGGGGAGCAACAGGATGCGGGCGACTTCCCGGAGGCTGGCGGGGGCGGGGGCTGCTGCAGTAGCGAGCGGCTGGTGATCAATATCTCGGGGCTGCGCTTTGAGACTCAGTTGCGCACCCTGTCGCTGTTCCCCGACACGCTGCTGGGGGACCCCGGCCGCCGCGTCCGCTTCTTCGACCCCCTGAGGAACGAGTACTTCTTCGACCGCAACCGGCCCAGCTTCGACGCCATCCTCTACTACTACCAGTCGGGGGGCCGGCTGCGGAGGCCCGTCAACGTGCCCCTGGACGTCTTCCTGGAAGAGATCCGCTTCTACCAGCTGGGAGAGGAGGCCCTGGCGGCCTTCCGGGAGGACGAGGGCTGCCTCCCCGAAGGTGGTGAGGACGAGAAGCCGCTGCCCTCCCAGCCCTTCCAGCGCCAGGTGTGGCTCCTCTTCGAGTACCCCGAGAGCTCGGGACCCGCCCGGGGCATCGCCATCGTCTCGGTGCTGGTCATTCTCATCTCCATCGTCATCTTTTGCCTGGAGACGCTCCCCCAGTTCCGTGCAGATGGTCGAGGAGGAGGAAGCAGTGGTGGTGGCATGAGCAGAGTCTCCCCGATTTCCAGGGGGAGTCAGGAAGAAGAGGAAGATGAAGAGGATTCCTACACTTTTCACCCTGGCATCTCCTCTGGGGGAGTGGCAGCTGGGGGCTCATCCTCACTTAGTACTCTTGGGGGCTCCTTCTTTACAGACCCCTTCTTTTTGGTGGAGACGCTGTGCATTGTCTGGTTCACCTTTGAACTCCTAGTGCGCTTCTCTGCCTGCCCCAGCAAACCAGCCTTCTTCCGAAACATCATGAACATCATTGACTTGGTGGCCATCTTCCCCTACTTCATCACCCTGGGCACTGAGCTGGTGCAGCAGCAGGAGCATCAATCAGCCAGTGGCGGGGGTGGCCAGAACGGGCAGCAGGCCATGTCGCTGGCCATCCTCAGAGTGATCCGCCTGGTCCGCGTGTTCCGCATCTTCAAGCTCTCGCGCCACTCCAAGGGGCTGCAGATCCTGGGCAAGACCTTGCAGGCGTCCATGCGGGAGCTGGGCCTGCTCATCTTCTTCCTCTTCATCGGCGTCATCCTCTTCTCCAGCGCCGTCTACTTCGCGGAGACCGATGACGATGATGCACTCTTTCCCAGCATCCCTGATGCCTTCTGGTGGGCGGTGGTCACCATGACCACGGTAGGGTACGGAGACATGTACCCCATAACAGTGGGGGGCAAGATCGTGGGCTCGCTGTGTGCCATCGCGGGGGTCCTCACCATCGCCCTGCCGGTGCCGGTCATCGTGTCCAACTTCAACTACTTCTACCACCGGGAGACAGAGCAGGAGGAACAAGGTCAGTATACCCATGTCACTTGTGGGCAACCTGCGCCGGATCTGAAGGCAGCTGACAATGGACTTGGCAAGCCTGAATTATCCGAGGCCACCCGGGAACGGAGACCCAGCTATCTTCCTACTCCTCATCGGGTATATGCAGAGAAAAGGATGCTCACTGAGGTTTGATCGACCCAGCCAGGGCTTGCCCGAGAAGGATGGCACTGAACAGACAGTCCCTTAGGCCTCCTTCTCGTTGTCTACTGATCTCACCCTAGCACCAGTTGACATCGTGAACTCCCTCCCCTGTAGCCAGTGGATGGCATCCAGGACCAAATGCCTGAACTGTCGGCCTTGTTGCTCGATCCCTGCAGCATTCAAGGTTTATCCATCTAAATGACATTTTAGAAATTTTAATGGTGCCACCCATTTGTGCCCGTCTTCTGTCACATGGATGTGATTTCCATCTGACCTTCCCTCAAGACTCTGCTTTTACATGTCTGGGACTTGCGATATTGGTAAGAACAGAGATGTCAGCAGGATGGAAGCGGGCTTACCTGGGTCTTGTTCCTTTCCTTAGTGTCCTTTGCCTTAGGACAAGCACCTGTCTTAGCCTTTGGCCCCATGGTAACTAGCAGAAGCTGGAGGACTGAATCAGTGTTCACCTTGCTGTTCCTTCCAGTGCCCGGTAACACCTGCTGGTCATTCTGCATCCCTTGGTTGACCCCTTAGTGCACAACTCAAAATATCTTTAACCCTGGCTGGAATTAGAGAAACTAAAATTAAATTTGGCCATTTGGAGGACATCAGGGGTCATTTGGGAGCAAAGGGGTCAGTGGATTTGTCCAGGTGGATTCCAGCACAACAGGTGTCAGTCTCTGGTCTACATTTAGTCCTCCCCACTCTGATCCCCTACTCTCTCTAGCTTCCAGGAAGGTTCCTTCTCAAAGCCAAATACTTTTTGTGCAAGTGCCTTCCTGTGCAGAGGAACTGGAAAAAGGGATCACAGAGACACTGCTGAGCAGAGGCAGCACCTGGCTGGGGCACACATCTGAAGACCTGTGCCACCAGGCACTGCTATCTGGGAGGGGCAAGGAAGCTTGTTGCAGAGGGCATATGTCCCCCCTCGCGCCCCCCCCCCCCCCCCCCACTCTCCTTTCCCCCAGCCCTCTCTAGCTTCTGCCTGTCTTTCTGTGAATTTGATTTAGCATTGCAGCGGAAGACTTTCTGGAGCCAGCTGCAGCTAAAGCCTGCAAACAGGGAAAAGCACACTTGGATGCTAGCGTGGGTTTCTCCTATTTTATGGGCAATG